AATTAAATTATAAAAAAATTGAATTAAAAAATTACACAAAAAAATGAGGAATTTCAAATAGTTAATTTGATACTGATATCGATATATTTTTGTCAAATTTTTATGATATCTTCAAACATATATTTATTCAAAAATAAAAAACATCATCGTTTTCTCAAAATCACATAAAGCCATATTATAACATCGACTGAGATAAAAAATAAAATAAAACATTAAAATCACGATGTATCTCGCTGCATTGCGCGAGTACGCTTCTAGTATATATATATATATATATATAGTGAGAGAGCAGATATTTTGAGTGAAAATAGAAGGAAAAAAAGCAGCATTAAACTTGCTAGAAGTATCAGGATCAATCACTGAAGTTGAGGTAAGAATTATATACCAAACTTAGGTAGAAGTATTTGATGTTATGATGTTTTACACGATATGTTTATATTTTGATATGATGTTTCAAACGAAAAACCATAAACTCACTGACCTTAAAAGTCAGCCAGTGGCGTGTAATCTTAGGAGACGGGAAAGCCAACAATGGAAAAGGCAAATAGAAGGTCTAGTCTAGTACTAGATGATGTCATGTTACGTTAAGTTATGTTTTGTTTAAGAATGTTGAGAAAGAGTATGTATGTCACTAAGAAATATGTCTAAGCTTATGTTTTGAGATTCCGTTATATGTGATGGAAGACGTTTAAGATGGTTATGATTACGTATCAAGATTTAAGTTTACACATATATGCGTATGTAGAACTATTACGGATAGAAATGCTTACAAGTAAAGAATTTCACCAGCCTTAACAGTGACCTCAAATGGCTTCGGTCCATTATAGTATAATGGGAATTCGGACATTTCTTTCTCCTTGTTCTCGGGAAATGGGTAAGGATTTACGCTGCACCAAGGAACGTGCCTCACTGGATTCTCAAGTTCCAATTCGAATTCCCCAGTTTCCTGTAACATGAAATACTTGTACATTTAATACCACCAAACAACAAAAACAGACTAATGTTGGTCTTAAACTTGTAATAAACATCCATATAAATTCACTAATAGATGATTACGCGCTAGAAGGTCACTCGACCACCTAACTAATAGATGTCTGATTTCATACATGTCTTAAGGGCTGTTCGGTTCGTTTTCTGTTAAGACCTTTATGGATATAGTTGTCTGTATATTAACAGATAAGTTGTTGTTCGGTTGTTGTGCTGAATAAACAGTCCGAATGTCAGAAATGACCATTTTACCCCAGTCTTTACTTTTGTCTAAATAATACAACAGTTTGATGAGGCATGCCAGCGTAAATCATAAGGGCAAGAATGGAAAAATGAGGGCTGAATGTAGACCACACCCTTTTACCAGCTGACCGAATAAGCCATCATTTGTTTCATTAAAAGCCACAACCGAACAACCTTGTATGGCTTACCGAATAAGCCATACATCCTATACAGCTTATTAAACTGCTACCGAACAGCCCCTTAGCCTTACATTGTGTGCCTTTATCATTTGTGTATGATCATATGATGATCATCATTAACAGGTTCAAACCTTATTTGGAGTAAGAACACCATATTTTGAGAAAATTCTAACCCTTTTTTAACACTATCTAACAATAAAAATTTGCAATATTTCATGTTTTTGAGATGTATATGACACTATCAAGAGCAATACACACATCATATCAATCGTAATTAAATTAATAAGCCACCATAAACACATATAACACACACCCATTAAGACAAAGAGATGAATTCATATAAGAAAAGGATGAAATCATACCTGAGAGTAAGAGTAATGAGCAGCTGGATAGTCACGAATATACATTCTATGGACATCAGTAGGTGGAAGAAGCACAAAATGCTTCTCTCCAGTAACAACAGCATACAAATTCTCGTAATGATCCTTATGAAATGAAGTTTCAGACAGATGATTCCCAATCCACAAATTAACAGCCTCTGGCAGTGATCCTATTGCTTCAGTTGCCCAAGCAACATGTGAATCACAGTCTCCAGCCAACGCCCCATACTCCTCCGTGAAACAATCGTTCTGTTGTTGTGCATACGCAACGAATCCTGTAATTGAATCCCTCTTATGTGAACCTTCGATGGCATCAATGGCGTCGGAGAACGGTGTGCGTTGAACGTGGGCGGAGGCAAAGCATAGGGAGTCTGGGTTAGAGGGGAGAGTGGCGATGGAGTCGGCTTGGCCGGTGGGGGTTAAGTGGAGGGAGACGATGGAAGAAGAAAGGGTTTGGCGGAGGTAGGACGTTGAGGTCCAGAGGGTGGTGGCCGGCCATTGGAGGGTGGTGGCGGCGGAGGCGGAGAGTATGAAGGGTTTGTTTTGGGACAGGTAATGGCGGAGGAATTGGAGTGGCGTTGGTGGGGTATGGAGGCGGTCAATTTGGGGGGTGGTTCCTAAGCTTAGCTCCCTGACTTCTTCCCAAAGGGTTTCGAGCTGTGAGTTCATTAATGGTGTTTTGGTGGTGGACGATGGAGAATGTACCTGTGTAGCTCTAACAAGCTCCGTGATGCGGCCATCCATTGAAATTTTCAGGAGTCAAATTGCAACGACAAAATAAGGACGAGGTCTTATTTTTAATAAAAAGAGTAATTTACATGATTCGTCCTTGTAGTTTACACAAGATCACACTGTACGTCCTTAATTTAAAATTATTATAGAAAACATCCCTATGGTTTACATTTTCATACGCCTTTGTTTTAACACCTTTAGATGGTTTTGTGCTGGCGATTGGTTCACAGATTCTGGAGGGATCTGATTGTATTGGAATGTTAAATTCCATTGACCAAACTTTATTCCCTCGTTTGGTTCTTTTTTTTTTCACGAAAGAAATCTTCAAAATCCTACAAATTTCACAAATAAATGAATTTAACATTCATTAGCAACTACATGATATTTTGATGGAATGGAATATCTTCTTCTTTATACTAAATATGTCTTTAACCTAATATACTCTAATCTCATAAAACTTAATATGACCATCGTCGACCACTTCTCGACCATTATTGATCTGAACCACCGCCGACCACCACCACCGACTACCACGATCTGAACCAGTGCCGACCACCTCCACTGATCTGAATCACTGCCGATTACCACCGCCGACCACCACCACCGACTACCATCGATCTGAACCGCCACCGACCACCACCACCACCGATCTGAACCACCGTCGACCATCACCACCGACTACACACCGATCTGAACCGCCGACCACCGCCTATCTGAACCACCCTGACCACCTCTATCTAAACCACTGTGAACCACCACCCATCTGAACCATCGCCGACCACCGTCGATTTAGTAACGTTGTTTGACTTATGATTATATTTAGGTTGTGTATTTTATATTGTTTTACATATCAATTTATTATTTTATTAAAGTGATTTTAGTTTTAAAAAAATTAAAATGTTCAAAAAAGGACATTTTGGTCATTTACCAATATTTTATTCCAATTCTAAAGCTACATTCTGTGAACCAAACAGACATATTTCAATTCCTTAATAGATTTCATTCCAATGTCTATCAACCAAATAGGTGGTCAAACCTGACAACATTTCATTCCAATTCTTTCAAAGTCAAATTCTTTTAACAGATTTCATTACATCACATTCTGCGAACCAAACACCACCTAAGGGTATTTATTTGGTAAAGATAACCTGATATAGTTAATTGTCTGGTTCTATGAAAATTTAATCGTTTATTCCCTAATGAAGAAAAAAGTACTTAAAATATATCATGTGAGAGGTACCCAACGACTTACAATTAAATGATGGTAGTCACATAAATTGAACTAATAAGAAACTAAAGTTATAATGACCAAAAAATATGAATCAACAAATTGTATGAAAAATATTTTATTATTTTATTATAAACAATAACAAAATAATATAATTTTTATACACTAATTCTTTTATCAAGAAATATATCCATACTATATTATAAAGTATTTGACAAAAACTCTTAAAAACCATTTTTTATGCATTAAGTACTGTTTATTGATACATATTACTTAAAATTATAGATTACAAGTAATTTTACGTAGATACAACTTATTAAAGCTTCATTTTTAAATTAGTGTAATTAACTGCAGATAAACATAATCAAATGCAAGATAAACATTCATTTTAAATATTTTTAATCTAAGATATAGTTAAGATAATCATTGAATTATAACAGAATTTTTAATTATTATCTTTATAAAAAATTATATTATTAAACTAAAAATAAATTTACTTTTTATTAAATCTAAATTAAATTATAATAAAAATTTGAATTAAATAAGTCACAAAAAGAAAATAAGAACTATTAAATAGTTAATTTGATATTAATATTGATTTATTTTTTTCAAATTTATGTTATCATCAAATTTATATTTCATTTAAAAATAAAAACATTATTTTCTCAAAACCACATAAAATCGTATTATATCAATAGAGACAGAATAAAAACTATACTTAAAATCGATATTTATCCTACTATATTGCACGAGTACCATTCTAGTAATTTGATCAAATCAAAATGACTAAAATACCAAAAAAGACAAAAAAAAAAAAAAAAAAAAAAAAACACCCCTAAGTTAATTGGAGGATTTTTAATAGATTTAGTCTCAAGAACGAAAATAACAATAAATTACAAATCATGGGAACGAAACCAACAGCAAATTACACAGGGATGAAAATCAAAATTTCAGATTCATAGGAACGAAAATCGCAATCTTTCACAAACCACAAGGACTAAAATCATAGTTTACTCTAAAGTATAATACATTACTCATTCCAAAATAAATGTCTACATATAGTTTTAGTAACGTGTAATTATTATATTTTTTAATTAATAAAAAACCAATTTTACCCTTAATTATAAAGAGGAAAAAAAATTCTCCATCTCATACTTAAAAGTAGAATGGGAAAATAGGCAATTACTTCTAAATTGGATATTGATTGGAACAAAATAAAATAGTAAAGTAGACACTTATTTTAGAATGGAGGTAATATATTTTGGTCCCTACGATATAGGCCAAAAATTATGGTATACCGTTGAGGTTCATCTATTTCATCAATAGTTAGGGCAATTTACCGAATGCTTACCCGGTAAGCACTTATCGGCAATAGTCATCATTCTTACTTACCTTATGCGGTAACATTCTCGACCACCAAAATGATTTGATCGTAAGCGTTTATCACCCAGTAAGCTCTTACTAGGTAAGAGTCACCACCCTCACTTACCGGGTAAGACTTTCAATCCTTGCATTTCCTTTTACCGGGTAAGATTGTCGGTCCTTCTTGTGTAAAGTAATTGACCCAATAAGCGTTTATCTGGTAAGTATTTGGTAAACGACTCTTACTGTCTTATCGTATAGCATTCTCGGCTATCAAAATAATTGACCCAACTAACGTTTATAAAGTAAGTACTTATTGGTGAAAGATATTATCTTACTTGTTTTATCGTATAACATTCTCGGCTATCAAAATAGATTGTTGGTAAACGTCTTAAACCTAGTAAGCACTTACCCAGGAGGACTTTTTTCTTCAGTTACCAGGTAAGACTCTTGATTTTAGCTATGCTTCTTGTTGGATAAGATTCTCGGTCCTTTTGATGCTCAATCGGTAAGGTAAGACTGGTAAGTGATATCAACGAGCGCTTACCAGGTAAGTGTTTGGTAAACGGCTCCTAAATACCTAAACCTCAATCCTTGATGCTTGAATTGAATTGAACCTCATTCTAATCTAAATTCTCATAAAATCATAGGCACAACCATGGCTTGACCATAAATCATAAACCAAAGCAAGCACACGAGTATATCCCACCTAAAAGGACGCCTGAGGATAAGATGTACATAAACCTAACATTTACTATAGGTATACCAGTTGTTTCTTTGACTGTTAAATCATCATACCATAAACCATTCCAACAAATTACATAGATGGTCTCTCCTCTCGTGTTCTACATGTTCAACGACAAACCTAGCATTTGGCTGAGCGGGTGCACCTGTAAGGTGGATCAAAGGTACGCAAAGTTGTCCTATGCGTTTTTAGCTGAATTTCACCGTTTTCGAGGGATGTTTTAGGTTTTTTGGTTGATATTCCTTGTACTTTTTAATATCTCAGAGCACCCCTCAAAATTTAACAGGTGCAACTTTCATATCAAAAAGAATTCTACTTGGGAAAATCGAGTGCACGGGTGCATGCTCGGGCCTTACTCCCCTGTACACATTCACAACTCGAACGAAAAGTAGTTGTTTTCGTTGACGCAACATGAACCAAATGCAGCAACAATGCTCAAAGTAACCAAAACAAGAAAGCCGGTTCACAAAACATATAAAGGACGGTGTACACTCGGAAGTTGCAAATATTTGTTCGACTTGGTCAATGCTATAAAGCAAACGAATCTAATGAAGTACAGTTTGGATTCTCTATGAATCGAGCAACATACCGAATCCATTAGTATGAAGTAGTAAGAAAAGCAAACAACAAATCTTGGTCTTCTATTGATCCAGTCAAATGATACAACACCTCCATTTCATGTAACGCGATCGCGAACATTGATGAAAAAGTAGTCTCAAAAGGTCATATGTTTCTAAGTTGCTACGGCCTCATTTATACCAACCGGTGAGGATCCATCTCAGGAAAAAACAGAAACAGCAACCGAGGCCCTGTTACAAGTAAGTTACTTCATTAGCAACAATAATATACCTTCCGTCACTCCATTTCGGATTCAGAATATTCAAAAGTGATTGGCCAAACCAAGCGAACTCAGTATATCCCACTCGGGAGGTGGGGTATTCAGCTGAATGACCTTCTAAAAAACTGAATTTAAGAATCTAACCCTTGTGTATTTCTAAGTTTTCTACAGGGATAGATTGTTGGTCCGATGAAGGTCACTGAGCTAAAAAAAATTAGAAGGTCATGCTCCTAACTGAAAACTCATATAAGGTCATTTAATCAAAGGACTCTGTTTGGGGAGTGAGACGTACGTAGACCTGGCCTCTGCTCAAGTAGAGCAGTTGTTTCCATGCACACCCCCAACTTCTAAAAAAGTGTACGTGAGAGAAAATATTCAAAAGTACCTCTCAAGTTCAATTTTCACATTTTTTTTTTATCTATCTCCCAAGATGTTTGTATTCTAGTACTTTTATAGTCGAAACGTAGTGATCTATTTTTCTTACACAAAAATGATAATTCTTTACAATTTATAGGTTCAAAGATAACTCATCCGACTCTTAAAAGTCAAATGTCATATTTTTTTTTCCAACTACGAATAATACACAATCAAGCAAACGATTGCCAGGTTCAAATCAAGAACTTGCTCAAAGAGTAGGACAGTAGGATCACTGAGGATGAGAGCTATTTACATGTTTGGTATGTGAACCAAATAGATTAGGCTAACGAAATTTGTACAGATTAATTAGGCAATAAATAGCATATAAGGTTAAAGACAAACTACCCACAAAGAATAAAATCTAAGAAAAATTTAAAAGAATTCGATAACTACATTAAAACTTCAATAGAAGTATTACAAAATGAAACATGCTGGTCAATTAGTAAAATTATATATAAGCAAGTCTTGTGAAAAGTACCAGAATTCAAATACAAAAGTTCAAATTGCAGCTTCATTTTTTTTAAGGAAGGGAGATTAAAGATTTGATTTTCTACAATTTTAGCTTATGGAATAAATATACAGAAGGCAAAAGATTTTACCTGAAGAACAAGTAGCAGGATGCATAGAGACTTCTCAGATCTCCGGCCAAATATTCTCAAGGATACATTCACAAGCGTCCCATCATTTGTTCCGGTCAGTAGTCCTGTCTGAGGGTCAAACCTGGTAAAAGTGAAATTATTATCAAACTGAAAACTAGAGCACCACAAAATGAAAGAACATACCAAAGGGTCATCGGCCCAGCAGTATCTGGGTTACCGTTAGATCCCAACCTCCTTGGAGGTCAATGGTTCAAGTCTCACCAAACATCTGGAGTGTGTATAAATATTACATATTTCAAAAAGAAAGAGAAAAAACATGCCAGTCTTACCTTGGTAGACGATGACGTGGACATGGAATAATGCCTGCAAGCTGTTAGAAAAATGGAGTATCCTTAGTTATTTGAGTTTTTGAATCTAGCATTCTTCTGCAATATAAATTTGGGGAGAGATGGTAAAGAGAAAAAGAGAGATTAGACCTGAGGAAGTRACAATAGGAAGTTTATGATTTGAGGAAGGAAGAATATTAGGAGTGTCTCACTGTCAAAGAAAACGTAGAAATAACATATTACTTGATCAAGAAAGAATGAACATTCATTAGCACAAAGTAGGAAACACTGGTACTTCAACACGTCAATATGGAATATTGTGCAACTCTGTTAGATATCCTGTTCAATTAGATGTTTCATGCTAAAGGCCAACTAGAAATGACACCATTGAATTCAACAAGGAAAAAGGTTATAATATTTTTTTATTGCAAATGGTACCTTCTCGCTAAACAAAGAAAAAAGTAGAAAAAGGACCAAGAGATGATTTTTGCAGATACTAGAATGTTGTAGTTGTAACAATCATTATGTACCAAATGACAGATCATGTCGTCAAGACACAATAAAATTACCAGAGAATATATCTTATATCTCTTCATTAAATTAAATCAGCAGCATCAGGCACTGTAAACCAATTAAGAAAAAGAAACAATGAAAGTTGCTGTTATAGCACCGCACATGTTTTTATGTTACTAGTGTCATCAATTCATGAGTTGGTCTATCCAATTCAAACAGATTTTTATAGCAGAAGATCTTCATTCTGCTATCATATTTTGTCGAGACATTAATGGACAAATATGATTTCCAAGTTATTGGATGAGTACTTGTTGCTCTTCTAATAATAGGTTTGCAGTAGGCCTTATCCCAAGTAATTCACTAATCTGATACCAGAACGTAATTTGAACATCTGGTCCACTCTGTTTTTTTTCTTCTTTTTCTGTTGGAAACAAGTAGAGACCATCTTTGACATATGAAACTCTTGTATTGGGTAACTTTTCAGCTGATTCCAGATTGACGATGATGACTTCTTTCCATAGTAGATTGTAGATGAGGATCATGATTTTGGGGGGAAATATTAAAATGTGAATTAGCTCCACTATGCATGTCAGTTGTTGTAATTAGGCATTTTCTTAAGTGGGGGTTTATTTCGATTTCCAGAAACATATGAAGTTGTATACATGTACACTCTTATGTGTATCTAAGTAAAGAAAGATATTTCGAGAGTGACACACCTATAATGGCCTAAAATGCCGACGACTGCCATCGTCATTCCAGCAAAGTATGTATAGGTGTCACCAACAAAAACAGAAGATGGGTACCTACAATATGAAGGGTGACACGTAGAAGATTTACATATGATGCAACAAACAGAAGTCAAATTAAAGACCAAAAGAAATTAGCAATTTCAGTACCAGTTGTAAGAAAGTAATGCCAATGAAGTTGCAAGCAAAGGTTGAACAAGGTATATGGAGAATGCATGGGCCTGTTGAGTTTCGTGATTGGGAGAAACTCCAATTTGCATGATGTTGTGAATCAAAATCTGCACGTCACCATTACAAGTCAGAGTTACTCTTGATTTTAGCATGTGAAAGCATCTAAATCATCTGGTTTCTTTAAGATTTGAAGCTTACAGCAAATGCTATAACAACAGTCTGTCCAACTTCAAGGCCGTTTATACCAGCATGGATGTTGATTGAGTTTGTGCAAAAGACAGCCAAGAGCCCCATATATAGCTTATAGATCCACCCTGTCCAGCACTCATGTTAAACAAAGTAGAAAATGCAGATCAAGTAACTAACAACCAGTGACAAGTCTTAATCAGATTCTATAGAACTGATCGAGTAGCAAGAAAGCTGGCATGAGTGGTAGGTCAAATTTCAAATCTCTTTTGCAACCAACTTGTCCAAAGGTGATAAAAGTTTTTGAAACAATGGCTCAAGGAAATTATTTCCTGATTACCTAGATCCAAGATTGCTGTTCCAACATATTCAATAAGGGGCTTTGGTATCATAATGGTTGTATGTCCAGCATAGGCCATCAACAGAGGGAGAGCAGCAATTGATGGCAATAATAGTTTCCTGCCTTCACAAGCAAATTTAAAGCGATTAGAGATCTAGTAGTAACAACAAATGAATTATGAAAAGCAGGAAACTCACACTCGCCAAGGAATATCCAGGACATCATCAACAAACCCAAGCAAAATCATGAAGCAGACAGATGCTAAAGCTGCATTATACTCGACAAGCCACTGCACACATATGGATTAACCGATCAGCACCTAATTATTATCAAATTTAATAATCAAACAAAGAAAAGAAACTACAGAAAAGACAATAGGAAAGACACATAAATAGATGAACATCAAAAAAATCATTTTCTTACCTCTATAGAAGATAATCTGATAAGAATATGCACTAACTAGATCCTTCCACATGCATAATATTGAAGAATATTATCTTTTTCTTTAAGAGAAGAAGGGGGAAGTAGGAGTGCGGTAATGAACAATTTACAGACCCAAGCATTAGATTAGATAGATTGATCTGATGTCTAGTTGTTTCTATAATATTTGTAGGAGCAAATCTATGGCATCCATCAAACTTGCCATTATTTTGCATTACCCAACATGCTTTTTCTACAATAAGAAGTTGTGGTGCTTTTGGTGCTAAGTGCAGTGATGGCTATTGGTATGCCCATACAAGCTCCCATATGCATAAATAGAAGACTTGGATAAAATTTTGCAGATGAAACAATTGAGCTACATTTCCATATAACTTTTAGTTTCAGTCCATTTTTCTTATCATGCATTCCAGATGCACAAAGCCCGGAAATGACCTATCTCTCATGTCTCTATGTCCTATTTTTGTTTCTTCTCCAACAATATTGAATTATCCAGGTGTTGAATACTCAAATATCACTATATTCTCTATAAACTGAGAGATACACACATCATAAGAAAAAGTAGGCATATAATTATATGGACTACATCTGATATTGTTATGAAGTGTCAACATATGAGAAAATAGATAATAATAAAACGCAAGTGCCACATACTGAAGAAGCAAACATACATTTGAATCTGACGTGAAATTGAAATACTGAAATAATATCGCCACGACCAAGAAAACAGTGCCCACAACAATACCAAGAGATTCAGGCCTGCAAGAAAGAAGTGATGTCAACACAAAAGTTGAGAAGAATAATCTAGATTAGTGATTCCCTGATGGCTGATGAATAGCTCAATATGACCCATTTAGCTCCAACAAACCTTTTAACTAAGGAGTTGCTATGATAAATATTTCATGCAAAAAAGCACCATTAAACAGATGAAGGTGGTGCGACCAAAGTAAGGGTGTGGAGTTTTACAGTTAAGGCATGCATCATAGGTTTCATTATTCTCTGAAGTGACCTCAAAGTAGTCTAATCATGTGTTTCTTAGGAAGATTTCACCAATAAATTTGTACAAACAACTCTGTGAGAGTGTAACATGAAGTTATAATTCATGTTCAGCTAAAAAATCCTCTTAAGTGTGTCACAACAGTATCCTACGTTGCTTGTAGCTTGTTCAAGGAGTAATGTATGCAAACTGTACTTCCTTAATCCATGACCATGTGCATAACATGAATTGACAAAAAAGTTCAATATTACTACCACGCAATTACAGGAAAATGACATAAGCCAGCATATGAGTTCAGTGGACTAACAGTTCGCAGAAGTTGGTTAATAATTTAACAGCAATTGTGAAGGGTTATGACCGGTAACCTCATATGATTATACAGACTGCATCCTTCATGAGGGACACTTTGGAGTACTATAAATAGGCTTCTAGATCCTAATTTTGTAAAATGAACACACAATTATGAACTGAAGTTCTTTCATCTTTCTACCACGTTTCTCTTATCTCCTACTTTGTCCTTGAGTATGAAGTTCTAGGTTGTGTAGGAATTTTCAAAATGCAATCATTATTTCCTTTGTAGATTGGATCGTATCATGGGGTTATATTTCTATGAGTCACCTTGTACCGTAGAGGAAAAAGACTAAACCTTAAGATCGCTCCTAAGAAGCCCCGCCCAACAAATTTTCTAGCATGTTGAAAATTTTATGTTCCCTAATCCCATACACAAGACACTGGACGTTCTAAATCCTCCATACACCACCCCTTAACCTCTAATATATCTTTAAGCAAACTCATAGTTTTTCATTTCCTACATGTATAATAGGTAATCAACCACAACTCTACGTTTACGTTAAGGATTATCTATTCTCGTAACATCAGATGATTCAGATCTTAAAAGTATAGCACGTGTCTATCCAACAGCAGGTAAATCAAATCTCAAGCGGATTCACTATTTACTATAAGGCATGTTCAGTAGTTATCTTTACAATACATGGTGATAAAGAAAATGAATATAGATTCTTGTGGACTATATATATATATCTTAGTGGTTTGCATATCAAAACCATTAAAAAATTGCTTAATTTTTGCATATCGAGCAAAAAGATTTCTTTTGGTGGTGGTATTGTGGGAAGGAGGAAGCATATTACACAGACAACAAAAAAGTATTTACCAATTGCATCTAATACATGAAGTAGACAAGGATAGAATAGAGTATATTCTCCTCTTTTAAGTTTCATGCACTTATAGAAGTTACAGAACTTCTTACGAACTCTAATGATCATATACGTGACCTATATCATACTAATGTCACTAAATTACATGTCGAATTACTGCAATAAGCTAAAAGGATTCTTCTTATCATACTAAACTGCTTCATTATTCATTAAAATACAGAAAGTCGATTATTAGACAAGGAAATGTACAGCATAAAGAAAGAACTTACACTTTGATCAGACCTTGAGGTGTACCCTTCTTGTTAATGTCGTAACCAAACAAATTACGCCTAATAACATATCTTGAAGCCACCGGAATCATCATTAGGGTTACAAAGAACCCAGCGAAACTGAGTGACGCATTGATAAGGATTGATTGCTTCAGGTCAGTTTCTATTCTATAGTGATAAAATATCAGGTAAAAGTAAGGAAGGAAGAAAATTAAAGAGAATAAGAGGATTTTGCTTGGTTTTGCTGGAGTGATCTGCGGTTCTGTAGAAGTAACGGTAGATTCCGGCGATTTGGTATATGATTCAGCCGGTGGCGGTGGTTGCTTTGAAGCTCCTCTCTTGCGAGCTGCCATGGCTGAAGTTCTATGCCCCTGTTTCTCTGTCTTGAAGTTGACGGTTGCGATTTGTAAAAGGAATCCGCGATCTCTGTTTTCCTTCGTCTTCGTCATCGGGGTTGTAGTGTCCAATTATATACTTACACGTCAAATCCAATTAGATGCTTACACGTCAGAGTAAACGTGTCCGTGATGGGGCATACAGGTGCGATTTGCATGCTAGTATTTCTCATTTGGAGTTCTTTTTGATAAAATTGGCAATTTTTTTAAATTTGAACCGTTTATCAAACAATTATCTGATAAGTGATTATTGTTAGAATTTAACATTATTATTTACTTATTGGATAAGATTTTAGTTCATCAAAAAAACATTGTATGCAACAATTTACCTGATAAGTGCTTACCATGGTAAGAGTCGTCGCCCTCACTTGTCGGGTAAGACTCTTGATCCTTTATGGGTAAGATTTTTTGTCATTATCATATTCATGCAGTGAGGTAACGTGACTTGCTAAGCATTTACCCGGATAAGCGTTTGGTAAACGGCCACAATATAATGATATGTGTTTGGAAAATCCATTTAGAATAAAAAGGTGTTTATGACATTGTACCTCGGTTGGTAAAGAGGTGGAACGAATTTGCCTAAATACAACATTGGTCCTAAGTTCGATCTTAGGCCTCCTGTTAGCCTTAGCCGCTAGGTGAACCAAAAAATATCACTTTACATTAGTGTTCTTGGTGACGGGTTCGGGGACATTTTATTGGGGACAGGGCAGGGATCGGGGACAAATTCGGAGATTTTAACTGGGACGGGGCGTGGACGGTGATCACCGGCCCGGCCCAATATGTATGTATATGTGTGTATATGTGTATATATATATATATATATCATTTTTATTTTATATGCATATATATATATATATATATATATTATATATATCATTAGAATAAAATAGACTTTTATCCACTTTATCTAAACAACTCAAATAAAGCTCACGAAAAAGTTTAGTTTATTTTTCTAAAATCGTGATTTTAGTTGTATGATGTTTGAATTTATGTTTAGTTTTATATTGTTTGTAATTGGTTCGATTATGTTTGAGACATTTAAACTTACATCTTTAAAAAAATTGTAATTTACTTTTAATTGTAAAAATTATCATATTGCGATCGGTTTCGGGTTCGGTTATAACCAACAGTGAAAAGATGATTTTTACCTGTAACGAGTTTCCCAACGGGGATCGGGGAAACCGCGGGGACCCGATGGGAATCCCCGATAAGATCCCCGACGGGGATCGGGGAGGTTACGAGGACGGTTTTAGCTACCGGTTTCTGGGACAGGGATACCAATACCCGGCCTGTTGCCATTCCTACCGTGTGATATCAATTGGAGTCGCTAGTTATCAACTTTTTTGCCCAAAAAGGAATAAAAAGCAAGTTTTTATGTAGCGAAGCAAATCAAACCAAACAAATGAATCCTCGAGGAGTAGGATCTGAACAATGTAAGATATTATGATGTACGCAGTAGCGGATCCAGGATGGAAGGTGATTGGAGGCACACCTAAGATATAATAAAAACCAAGTCGAATTACTTACTCGAACTTAAATGAGGTTTGGATTAAACGTTTCGACTTATTCGGAAATCTTTAGTAAAACACCGTTAACGACAACGAGAAACACATGGTCTAACAAAATTAACCAAAATCCCAAAAGAAATACCTAACTTAGATATCAAAATCGTACAAAAACACTAAAATTGTCGAGAATTACTACATCAAAGCTAGTGATTTTGGATCGACGAGAGTTAACAATGGCAAAGTTTTACCAAGAAATCAAACAAAATCTATATTTTTTCAGAAGACCCAACAATCATCGAACATTAAGGGGGTGTTTGGGATTGCTTATAAAAACAGCTTATTGACTTATTTCAGTGTGGCACCGGTAATAAGCACTTTTGAGTGTTTGGATAAACAACTTACACCGGTGTCAAACCGGTAATAAGGAGTTTTTGAAGAAGCTAAACCCTTCTGACTTATAATAAGTGCTTTTGTAGAAAAACATAAGCATTTTCAAATAAGCAATCCCAAACACCCTATAAATCATAAAATAATATAACAACAATTTTTTATGAAGAAACAAGATAAACAACAACCAAAGGTTGGGGGCATTGATCGAAAGAATGTTGGAGGCATTATCGAAATTAAGGGTAAAATATATTGTTTTTTACTAATTATCATGCATTGGGGTTGTTTATCAAATACTTATCCGGCAAGTTTTTACCGATAAAATGCAAAACTATTATTTACTTGTCGGGTAAGATTTTAGTCTACCAAAACGACATCGTATGCAACAATTTACCCAGTAAGCGCTTACTGTGGTAAGAGTCGTCGTCCACACTTACCAGGTAAGACTCTTGGTCCTTGTCTCAGCTCTTACCGGGTAAGATTCTTGGTCCTTACCGGGTAAGATTCTTGGTCCTTACCATATTCATCCGGTGAGGTAATGTTACTTGGCAAACGCTTATCCGGGTAAGCATTTGATAAACGGCCCCTTAGAGTTTGTTTTACCGAACACTCCCGGTAAGAGTTTATTATGTCACATTACCTAACCGAATGAACATGACAATAACCAAGAAACCTACACAGTAAGAACGATGGTAAGGATCGAGAATTTTACCTGATATAAAAGGTGACATTCGTACCTTACCGGGTAAATTGTTGCATATGATGTCATTTTGATGGACTAAAATCTTACTCAGTAAAATAAGTGATAGTTAAATCATACAAATAAACGCTTACAGGGTAAATATTTGGGTAACGGCCCTTGAGAAAAACTAAAACTAATTTTTGAGAGATTTCATTCCATCAAGAATGAGATGTTTCTCACATTATATGTAGTCTACACACACCCCCCTCAAAAACATCATTTATAACTCCTCCTCTTCTTGTGCATCATCTGAAGTTAAAAGATGATTAAGAGCAACTTTTGTCTTCTTTGTTCCCGCCATCGCAGCATTCGTAACATCATCCTCCGGCTTCCTCTTAGCTGATTCGTCTTTCGATTGTCCAACGTTTTCATTTCTATCCACATCATCTTCATTTCGAGAATCCTTTGTCTGTCCTTCAGAAACTGCTCCCGGTTGACCGTCTTCACTACCATTCACATCTCTCTCTTTCGATTCACTTGGACAACTTAACAACAAACGGATCTCTTCGTTGCTTGCAAGATCGAGAGGGCTCTTCCCAGCTTTATTTTTTATACTTACATTTGCACCTTTTTTGACCAAGTATTTGATGAGATCGAGATAGGATCCCTGCACAGCGTAGTGAAGGGCAGTCATGCCCTTACGGTTTAAGGATTTGATGGAGACCCCAGATGATACAAGTGTTCGCACGACTTCCAAATGACCTTTTTGAGCGGCAAAGTGAATCGCCCCCATATCGTCCATGGCAGCTGCACCAACATCTGCTTTGTTCTTGCAAAGGATATTCACAACCTGCGTCTGCCCAGCCCATGCTGCTAAATGAAGTCTACGGTTCAGCGTCCGTTGAATCAAGGAAATGAACGAGCCGAAAGTGTTATATATGAATTATAAGTCGAAAAGCTAAGACAACAAAGCCAAACAAACCATCCTGAAACAATTTTCAGAGTGAAGGTGGAAAAGAGTTGACATAAATACGACGTACATGCAAAACTTTTACGCAAGCCAGGGGTCTTCACACAAATAGCCTCTTTACCCCTTGGGTAGAGGAAAGATAGTATACATCCTACCCTCCTCATACCCCACTTCGTGGTGGATTCACAGGGTTCGTTTGGTTTGGTTAGCAGAGATGAGAGCAATAGATTTCCTAATCAAGTAATCACGTGACACCACCACTTGAAAAAAAGAAGGAAACCAAAACTAACACCTTAACTGTAGCTGGAAACGAATATCCAAGAAAAATACTGTCATATAAGGAACAGGAAAAGCCGGGGAAAAAAACAACTAAATGTATGTTTTTGATGCATCACAGCCGAAATTCTATCACAAGTGACTAAATATATTGCTTCATATGTACATATGAGAGATTCTTAGTTGAAACTTCCACAAGTGACCAAATTCTCACTGTGAAGCATATCTTTTTAGGATGCAAAGAAACAGAATATAACCAGATAAAATAACAACTTTCGACATTTATAGTTTGAACTGCGACTGATGAACCTCTTTCTATGAAGGCTTGTGCAAGTGTGGTTCCATGCCTTCTTCAATGTAAAAAACAAACGGGAGTGACAGGTTCAGTATCTTTTATGGTGCTTGGAATGATCTCATAAAAAAATGAAATGCAACCAGTAGCATTCATTACTCTAGCTCAACAGATAATTCATTCAGAGGGAACTGTTTTATTGCAAGGACAGTTTCTTGAACTGCACACCAGTCAATATCGTTAATCCACTTCGTCTACAGTCAGCAATGAAACAACAGATGTCTATTAGTTTCTACTTACTGCCAATTACTATTGGTGTGTTTGGTACTGGACTGGATAGGCCAGAGCGAGGTTGGCTGGTGAAAAAATTGTGGAAGGTTTAGGATTTTGGTGGGACAAAATCTGCATTTTTGTCCCTCTCGGTCCCAATCTATATCACCAAATGTGGGACAACAAATTTTTGTTCTGCCCTATCCCATTCTGTACCAAACACACCCTACGGAAACTAAGCACTAAACATGCAATGCAGAGGTGTTCTGGTATTGTAAACAAACCTAACGAGCACGGTATATCCCACCGAGTATTCTGGTACTGCAGTGACTACAAATTGAAGACAAACAAGGACACAGCCATAAACTTTTTGCTAAGAGACCAACTTAACATTCTTTTTGGCAAAATTAACATCAAATTAGGGCTCAAAATTACTTCATACCCATTTCATCCCTTGAGTTATTAAAATTCAATCGGAAAATTTTCACAATTTGTGGTAGGAAATGACAAAGTATTGTGCCCAAGACATACCGATTCCCAAGCAGGTAGATAAAATTCTAGTCTTTTTAAGGAAAACTCAAATACCCGCCACAGAGTTTATAACAATATACAGTGCATACAGAAATTGAAGTTCTAAATCGAGATGAACATGCCAGTATAATGCTCGGAAGTCGAATAAAAGATTAGAGAGGAGGATACGGGGTTCGGGAGTGTTTATCCCTGGAGTTGACAGACAATGGATTAGAGCTACATATGGTCTGTACGGCAACAACATCGCCTGCTCGAGCTGCTGCGTGAAGATCTTCCATCGAATTCGATGTTTTCCCCATCCTTTTTCTTCCTACGAACGAAATTCCGAATTTTCTTCTCGAGTGTATGAACAAAAATAAGCAAATCTTCTGAAATGAATCTTAGGGTTTGTTTTAGGGTTTTTAGCATCAAATCGGTTTTTGAAGATCCGACCCCTTTTTTATAACAATTCGTTTTTGCAAAAAAAAAATTATTTTCACGAATTTAAGGGGAAAAAATTATTTGGATTCTTGAAAAGGAAAGAAAATTTAATAAAAAAAACTTTTAATGTTCTTTGAACAAGAAATAAATGATATAAAATGTTATCGGACAAGATTTTTGGTTTCAATCGGTAAAGTAAATAAAATCGATCAAACAGATGACTGAATTTTTAAATAAGATTGGACCAAACACTGCTTTTGAGAAAATCTAGAACTTGACCAGATATGGTTGATTTTATTTTGGATTCTTTTTTATTCTTTGATTGTGTTGGTTCGATTTGAAGTTTGTATACTCTTATCTCGTGTTTTTTAAGCGTATGTCTTCTCTTTTTGGAGGTTGGCATGGCCCATCAAAGCACCACGTGAAGCGTAGTCCAAGACTTCTCGTTTTACAACATGATAAAGGACCCGATGACTATCGTTGGTATATGATTAATGATTGGTTTACTCTTTTGATTACCATGAAAAAAGATAAAACATTTATGTTTTACACCATTTAGGATGCGTTTGGTGACAGGGAGATGACATAATAGGATAGGGACCCATGTCTCATGTTTGGTATGAATTTTATGTGAAACAGACAAGAACAGAGTGGAACATGCCTGTTCCACCCCTACCTCATGGAACATGGTGGAACAATGTGAAACAGACTTATATTTTACCAATATAACCTCAAAATAAAACTTAATTATCTTCTAAAACATCAAATAGGTCTCTTTTTTACATTTTATTTATTGTATTTTGTGTTTCTTAAACTTTCATTTTAAATCTTATACACTACAACTCGTCCTCTAACCACACCGAGAGACTGACTACCATCCCTCACCTTGTTGTCAGACTCCCCTAGTTGGGATTTTGATATTAGTGATACCGACTGGAAACCAGATGACCTACATTTTTAGTAGCTGAAGAGGCTAAATAACACACATATAATACTTGATTAATAAAATAAAAAAACAAACGAAGTAAAATTAATATCTTTCAAGGTTTTCACATATTTATAATTTTATAATATTATTAAACATATTTTTTTGTAACAATTTGTTTAAAATAATTAATAAACCTTCAATAAAAATGATTTAAATAAATGTCTTGTCATTTTGGGATTAATGGGCCTTACAACTTGTGTTCTAACCAAATAGTTGGGTTTAGACTTGGGCTTAATAAGCCCAATATAAATGAATGATTTAGGTCTAGGGACTCCTTTTAATACTCCGGCCTAACGTCTTCCCCAAATTCGCCGCGTTTTCCATCTCGGCAGCCGAAGCACTTCGCCTCTAACTCAGGTACTCTTCAACGATTCTTTACTTAACACTTTCATATGTTTGCTTTGTGAAATCATCGTGCATTATGAACACATGAATTAGACATTATGGATTTCAGACGCGTTTGTAGTAGTGTTTTGTGCTATATTTTTGTCAACTTTGAAGGTTTGGATCTCATTCGTGGAAGATTTCTTTGAGGATGTGTATTATCATGTTATGAATTTGGTATTAAACTGGAAGGATTTTTATTTATTTGTTGCATAGAAAATGTAATTGTTCAGCGACGGAAATGGATTTATTGCGTTGATGCTGTTTTGTTTGCTTAACTTCTACTGTTTCTTCACAATCAAATCAACAGACGCTGGGTTACTGTTTTTAGTTTTTGTGTTATCTGATGTATGAACATGTGGTTTCGGTTTTTTTTTTTTTTTTGTGTGTGTCGTATTTACAGAAGTTCAGATTTGTTACTAAATATGTGTAAACTTTGAAGCCCTCAGATCTCTTATTTTGTGGAAACCGGTAGGTTTTTATTTATTTGCTCCTTAAGAAAAAGTAAATGTTCAGTGACGGAGATGGATGTATTGCATGGATGTTCTATGTTTACTTTGTAGTTTTTGTGTTATTTGATGCATGGGAATCGGGTTGTGGCTCCATTTTTGGTGTCATATAAGCAAAAGTTATGATGTTTCTCTGCGGTTAATCTGTTGGAATCAATTAGTAGCATCCTCTACATCGGGTGTATTATTAAATTCCTAAAATGTGAAGAATATCTTTGGATAATTCATCTGTGCTGAAGTGTTTTGTAGTTGCAAGTTAAAGAAATTATTAGTCATTAAGATTGTGCAAACGGTTTAAACTTATTAGTACACTTTGATGCCATTAAAATTGCAAAGATTTTCATTTTAAATGTCCTGTGAAACTGTAATAATATCTTGGGCAATATCTATGCTACCATTTGCTCATTGTCAATACAACAAATTATCGAAGCTTTTGATTTTGTTTGACAATTTTTTTATGATGTTATTTGATAGCATCCAATGCTCCTTGGTAGAACATCATCATTGGAATTTCAAACATTCTACTAGTAGTTTTGAACTACACTTGAATTTGAATTTTTCAATCTTGTGAGGGGGTATTGTTTTAAAGACCGGTTAATATAGTTCTAATTGTTGTTTTTTCCACTGAGATTGACAAAGAAGATAGTTTCTGAAAGGACCAGCATTGGGTCAACAGTACCTAAAATGTGATTTCTTTTTGCAGAGGAACAATGGTTAAGCATAACAATGTTATTCCAAATGGCCATTTCAAGAAGCATTGGCAGAACTATGTGAAAACATGGTTTAACCAACCTGCCCGCAAAACAAGGAGAAGAAATGGTTAGTTGTGAAAATTTACGATTAATCAGAGCACATGGTGCTAATATTTGATGACTTTTCTAAAAGACTTGGTTTTGCATCTAAATTTACATCGGAGTTACTGTTGGGTTTAATTTTCAGCTAGGCAGGCAAAGGCTGTTAAAGATTTCCCAAGGCCTGCTGGAAAGCTTCGTCCTCAGGTTCATGGACAAACCTTGAAATACAACATGAAACTTAGGGAGGGCAGAGGATTTTCTCTTGAAGAGCTTAAGGTAAGATTAGTTTATAACTTTAGTTATGTAATTAAGAAAGTACTTTTGAAGAGTGACACTTTTTGATTAGGTTTAGTGAGAGGATATAATTTGTTCAAGTTGTTGGGACTTTGGTTATACAACCGTAAGGTTTGAGTTTGATCTCACATAATTATGCCACTCTCTCAAACGTTGGTTTCTGATTATATGAAAAAGAACCAGTTAAAAATTGAACCAAACATCATGTAGTTCAATTTTTAGTTTTTTTGTAATGCTTTTTCAATTCTTTTGAGTTACAAGGTTAAAACACTAGTAGTTGTATATTTGAGTGACTGGTTGAACTTTTTAGTATAAACTCTGATTGTTCTTTACGGTACCAAAAACAAAAAATAAATAAAATAGAAGCTTAATCTGTGTACTCATTCTGTATCTATGTGAGCTTATTCATTACAGTGTACCAATGTTAGTTCATTTAGACATTCATATTAAACTTGTTATGTTATATGCTTAAAAATTGTAATTCTAATTTATGTTAGCTGTGACATCTTAAATTCAGTTTCTCTAATATTGACATGAACTATCCTTTTTATTTCAGTTGGTTGACATATGGTTTGATTTTACAAATTCACGTTGTCTGTTTTATGATCAGGGTGCCGGTATTCCAAAGAAACTTGCTCCAACCATTGGCATTGCTGTTGACCATCGTCGCAGGAACCGTTCACTGGAGGGTCTGCAAGCCAATGTCCAGAGGCTAAAAACATTCAAAGCTAAGTTGGTTATCTTCCCAAGACGTGCAAGGAAAATGAAGGTAAAACGACTGTTCTCATTTAATCACTACGTAATTTGCTTAATCTCTTTACCGGTTAATAACAGCAGACCATCGATTTGAAGATCCCTTTATGAAATCTGTTTGTAATTGATCTTAATCTGCATAGTGTTTTCAAAGCAGAACATGAACATGAACATGATTACGTTTTTGTTGAACCAGGCTGGTGACTCGACCCCAGAGGAGCTTGCAAGTGCCACCCAGGTTCAAGGACCAGTTTTGCCAATTGTTAGGGAGAAGCTAGCGCCCGAATTCGTGAAGGTTACAGATGAGATGAAATCATTTGGTGCTTATGCGAAACTTCGTGTTGAGAGGACCAACAAACGTCATTTGGGTGCTCGACTCAAGAGGGCTGCTGAGGCAGAGAAGGAAGAGAAGAAGTAAGAGGTATGATGAAAGCAGTTTTGGATATTGTTTTGTTTGAAACCTTATATTTTAGTTATTGTAACTGGGAATTGGATGATGATGTTATTTCCAGTTTGTCATATGTTCATCAACTGAACCAAGCTATTATCTTTTACTCATTTGCTTCTCAAACCCAACTGAACCATGCTTAATTTTCACCACTTTGATAACAAATGCGGTGATTTCGGGCTATCTGCAAGGGATTAGTCGGTTCGCATAGCGGGTTCGATATACAGGTCAATCAAAAAAAATGTTGAGCGAAAACAAAAAAAATTCAGACTAGAAAATCAACTGAAATAATACGGGAAAAATAAAACGTATCCAAAGAAAATTTAGATGTAATTTTTGTAGTGATATGAATAACAAGTGAAATTGTTGAAAAGGAGTTGAGTTGTTGATTTTGTCGATTTATAAATTCAACGTAATGGTATTTATAGGGTCAAAAAAGCACTTACATGTATTCAAAAATTTATCAGTTTATAAAAATAAGTAGTCTTATTGATTGTGTTTTCACACTTAAACACCATCTCTTATCATTAAAAAGTTTTACATCTTTTAAAAAACAAACACCGTTTTATTCTAAGTTTAAACTATTTGGACAAAAAATTGTATTAGCAATCTTAACCAGCCTTGTACGAAACCCACCTCAAAAAGGATAACAATGTGAGAGGGGTAGGGGGATTTTTTGGGCTCACTACACATGGGTTGGGTTGCCTGGTTAAAGGCATTTGAACAACCTAACTCAATGTTTGCGGTTTAAAAAATCTTAATCCAACCCAACTCAATTCAAACCGTATGGGTTGGGTTGAGTTGGTAGGATTGAAACTTTGATACATCATTTTACAATCTAGCTAGGTATTTATGTTTACACAAAGT